ACTAAATTCAAAGTATTTAGCCTTCATCAGATATTTAAAGGCAATGTTTAGAAGCTTTTGTAAACTTAATAAAAAATATAATGTTATAATTATAAATTTAATAAAACTAGAAAGGGTTAACCTACGGATGGGTATAGATTATTATATTTATAAACTGATAACTTATTAAATAAAAGTATTAAATCTTTACATAGAAACATTACTGAATGGAACATACAAATACAAGGTTTGTGCGAAGTATTCGCACGGGTCAGCTATTAAACACTATTTTTAAAGAATAAAGCAATATAATGTAATAAATATTCGCCTTATAGTGTTCTTCTTATCTGTTTCCACTTATAATATTCAACCATTTTTAATTCTTAAGTCTCCTCAGGCACTTCAGCTCTCCGATCAGTATTATAAAGTTCTTTACAACTACATAACTGATACATGAATAAAAATATTATCTTCCGAAACTGGTTTTATAAGTACAATTAGTAGAGAGTTACATATCGATGGGCAATTTTACCACAGAATTGATATAAATTTTTTTCATGAATGTTGTCTTTAAGAATTTAAAACGTCGTAAACCAACGACTTCCTGTCCTACAGTTTCCTTTAACAATACTCCACTTATCCCTGTTGAGCAAATCCGATACCTAGGACTCCACCTAGACAAACGACTAACTTGGAATCCTCATACTAGACTGAAACGACAAGAAACCGCTCGACGTTTCCGATTACTTCAGCACTTACAAGACAAACGCTCTAAACTTCCCATTAATTACAAAAGACTTATATACTTGACTATAATAAGACCTATTTGGACTTACGGAGTTGAGCTATGGGGCTCCACTAAACCATCGAATTCCTCTCGCATCCAATCCTTACAATCCAAAATCCTTCGTAAAATCCTCAATGCTCCTTACTTTGTCACTAATAAAATTATCCATAAAGATCCTAATGTTCCTTATGTTTCAGATCTGGCCCGATCCAGCTACCTATCCTTCCATAATAAACTTCAGAATCATCCCAACCCTCTCGTTTCTAACCTTGCTTCCTCTTCAATTCCTGATAACCCTCCGAGGCGTCTGAAAAGAAGATGGCCCCGTGATCTCCTAATGTAGTCATATCATTAGAGTGCTACCATTGGGTAGTTACTCAGCAAGTGTATTCATGTCATTATATCAATTATGTCCAAATTTACTTGATGTATTTATGTAATACAGTTGTAAATGTCATAAAGAAATAAAAAAAAAAAAGAATTTAAAAAAAAATTAGATTATTCTTTTTAGTTATGGAAGCTGATAGAACTGGATTGTCTAAAAAAATCGCAATAATTTCGCGACCATGTACCTTGAATCAAGACCAGGTTTTGGTATATTCGGAAGGTTTCTACCTTTTTTTATACAAATTATTTTTTTATACAATACAAAACTGGCCTTCCATGAGTTTGACAATTTTTTTTTTTTTTTTTTATCCACAACTCAATGAAATAAATTTGGTTTCTTGAATTAATTTTAATTAAATTTTATTTTTTACAAATTATTTCTTGCTTTAATTTCAGTTTCTATAAAAAGCTTACTTTTCAAGTCACTATTTATTATATATTACTCATGAGAGTACCCCCCAAAAAAAAATAATTTGACTTTTTTACAATGAAAAAATAACACAATCATGAGTGGTCCATTTTATTTGTTTATAAATTTTGTCTGGGGAATAATTTTATTTGCTTTTAAAAATAGTTAAAGAAGTGGAAAAATTTTCAAACCGATAAGGCAATATTAAATTCTCGTATATTGCTCACATTTTCGTTATTTCGAACAATTGGACGACAGTTTGGCCCCAGAATACCATTTGGTTTTTTGTTATTTTTCTCCAAAATAACTCTATGAGAGGTTGACATGATGTTAAGATTTCTGATCTCATAACTCGATTTTCTATTATAAATTTTTGGGTTGAAATGAATGTTCCACGTTCTGGAAGCTTATACGGTTCCATTTTCGGTTAAAAGATTTTAGCCAAAAAGTTAACATCCTAGTCATATAAACTCCTAAAATAAATGATTCAATTTTATAAAACTTTTCGTTTTTGAGTTCACATAATACACACACACAGACTATTTTGTGGGGCTAAGGACGTTTCTCGCAATTTGATACAAACAGTTAATTCATTAAAATGTTAAATCGATAAAAAATAAAATATTCAAATTCAAATAAAACAAGATATAAAATATTTGTAATAATAATATAAACAAACACATACTATAAAAAAAAAAAAAAAAAGGAAAGAGAAAAAATGTTTATATACAAGTATAAGAACAAAACCTTAATATTAAAAATTAAAATATTACCTATATAATGAAATAAATAAGTAAGTAAAACATAATTAAAATAATATAAATTACAACAAAATAAATGTATCAGCGATATCTCCGATTTATTACATATGCCATGCTATAAAACATACTTGTTATAACCCTTTTAAATTGAACATATATTACTCCCTTTTTATATTGTTTTTTATAAATAAATAAATGGGTTCAGTTTTTTCTTGTTATACTATACCCGCATACCCGCCTAAACCGAGTTTAAAAAAACTTTTATGTTTTATAATATTGGTTTAGTTTAATTTTCTTAAGCACATTTTACATTATTTTATATTTGAGAAAATTGTTTATTTTGGTGTTTACAAGGACAAGATTTTGACGTGGTCAAATCTATTCGGTTCTGCTCGAAATTCTATAGTATTTGACAAAAGCATTGCGTAAAGTAATTGATTCGCCATACCACATCACAAATGGCTTAAAAAATAATCTAGGCGTCATAATAGTTTCAGATAATGCCAGTAAGTGTTACGAAAATTCCCATCACTTATAATGAGCAAACAGATAACAAAAGAACTGGACATACACAGCGAACTGAAATAGCTCTTTCCTATCATTACCGTGGAAGGCTTTCATTATGGATGAGAATCGTTTATCTAAAATACAGTTTGTCATTTGCAGTTACTTTTTCAGAATAAAAATTTAAATTCAAATGATTAAATATTCTTTAGGTAGTACGGTACATTTATAGCTCATTGTTAGGCATTTATTTCTGGTTAATTTCGACTCCGCTCATTATGCCGGTCATTTCCTATATTAATTAACACATATGTTTCTTTCTTAAAAATTCATCCAACTCAGCACATCACCATTGTTAACTAAAAAAAAATTGTAGTTCCAAAACATCAATTGGTGTAATGTGTACATTCTAGGAGAGCAAAAAATTAACAACATTGTAAAGACACAATATGGCATCACATGTACATAAAGAAGCATGGATATATTATATTAATAATTTTACTAAGAATGGATTCATAAGTTTAGTTTCACGATAAATGGTGTAAGTAATGTAATATTAAAATAACATAACCCAAGTTCTTCGGGGGTATGGTACAATCTGCCATCTAGAGAAACCAATTGAAGTAACGTGTTGGATTAGATGAATTATGTAGCGTTTTTTCTGTACAAATAACATTCTGCTGTTAGATGTTGAATTAATTTAAATAAGTTATAAATCGATAATAGTATTGTGAGACTATTTTTAATAGCCCATGAATAAAGTTATTTTTAATTATTTTTTTTTAAAGGTCAAAAAATACATTTTCTCTTTATCCGTTGAAGGTCAAGTGACGTACCAAAGTACCAATGCACTCGAAAGTTCCTTATTTCGAAAGCAAGTAGGTTGCGCGCGCATTGTCATCATTGACTTTTCCTATCCCATTCATTCAACCATTTTAGAAATTTAAATTGAATTTCAAGTCTTGATAAAATTATCTTAAAAATAAAACTGATTTCCAGCGCCACCTTGGGCCACGACCTCTGGCATTCAGCGAGTGTATGTGACATTTCAGCCCACGGGAGGGATGGACGGCTACTGGGTCGACATTAACCGAAGACGATGGGCTAAAATCAAAAAGTATTATAGTAACGCATCGCTGACAACTTAAAATCGATTCGCTAGTCTAGTTTACCAACTCCGGATAGTATGTTTTTTATTAAAAGCAAAGGTATTTTACAAATTTGAAATTATGAATGAAGCTAAATTTTGCAATAGACTTAAGAGGACATCTTCGTAAAATTAGATCGAATACAGAAAACTTATATAAATATATTAATCTTAAAAGAAGTATACATAACCTTACTGAAAAGCTGTATATAGAAATAAATAAATATTGCAAAATTGTGAATAAAAAATGAAGGTCTGTTCGTTAATTTCAATGCATTTTTTATTAATTTATAATTATATTTACCAGAAGACGTAGGAGTCATAGCATATGTTTTGATGGAAATAGTACTGAGATTAAGGGCTGACATGGACAGAGATTTATTTTTAGAAGTAGCTATGGCCATTCAAGTTTTCAAGTTTATTTGTGCTTAAGCAGCTGATTTAAAATAATTTCATCAATACAGTACTGCGTTATTAAATGCAAACTATAATATGATCTTAAAAGGTATATTTATTAAATACCAAAATTATAATATAAATTCCGTTTGGATACATTTCATCTGAATACAGTGTGGGTGTAAAGTTGTATAATAAGTATAGATAATATAATAAAAAATGATTAAATATTGTATATCATTATTTTATTTTTGGTTTTAGCAACGACCATTTAACACAGCACTTTTTCTTTACACTGAAGTAAAGTTTATATATATTACAATATATAGATTAACCAATCAAATTTGTTGTTTTCACTTTGAGATGTAAAGAAGCATTTCAAGAATCAGATCGGGTTTTTATAACTGGGTCAAAGGGTCACACATATATATCTTATTCTTCACGTGTATATCTATGCTTCACTTCGGAATATAATTGTTAAATATAAGCTAAAAATAATGTGTGATAAGAGATTAATTGATAGAGATATGTGATAAGAGCTAATGATTGACTTGCATAAGAACAAAAAATAATAGTAATAAATAGCCTAAAATTAGTATAAAAATAAAAATACGATAGTTAACAACTCACTTGGCCCCTAAAATATGATTTCGTTGTAATGTGATAAAATTATTCGGAGAAGCAGTGGGTTGACCTGAGCTCCATCTGAGACGGAGCGGGTTGCGCCTGAAGGGGTGTCGCTACTGCAAACCCGGAGTGAGTAAGATGGCGCCGAATCGATAACCCAGCGGTGAGAGCGCCTGCGGCCTTCGATCCCGCACTTGCAGGCCGTGCCAAAATTTCATCCAAACTGGACCGAAACTATTTTTTTGTAGGTACGCCGGCCGTACGGCATGTTCGGTTGGGGTTCGCTAACGGCCGCTGGCAGGAAAGTCTCCCATATGGGTCGTCCTCGAAGCACACGTCCGGATCAATATGTTTCCCAATCAGCTGATATTGCCCTTAACTGCCCACTTATATTAAGAAGGTGGAACTACGCCCATTACTCGATTTTTAAGGACGAATCCTAAACATTATAAGAATAATATTCAATACTCCTCTTTAATAATCTATTGATTGAAAAGTCAGTTTAGCCCAATGAATTACTTTTAGTATTAAAAAAAAAATAATAATAATAATAAATTCTTTAACAAGCCCTAATTATTTATTCCTTAACAAGCCCTTTCAGAATAAAATACAGAGAAGGAATTAATGGCTTCAGAACCTTTGAGTTACCGTCGCTTACCATGGGAACAAACTACGAAAAAAACAAAAATAATGAGGATAGGGAGAGGAGAGGAGAGAAGAGCTGGAACATTTTATAGGTGAGAAGTATTTAGGACTCTATCTAAATCAGAACTGAAGGGTAGAAGGCGAAATCACGGAAAGAGACTGGCCTGCAAATGCTTCCATTCACTAAAACCAGGATTCTTGGTAAAGAATGAAGTAGCCAAAAATATGAAGAAAACTTTAAAAATATATTCATCCTCATACTGATCTGTGGCAGTGAATACTGACTGACAGAAGCCAACTCCAAGCAATGTAAATGGGGGTTCTGAAGAGAATGGAGTGACAAACAATAAGGAACAAAATCATAAAAACGACAAGATGCAATTCTAGAGGAAACGGATTCTGCAGTTCTAGCAATGGAAAGAGGCTCAGTACCAATAATGAATATACCTCAGAAAAATTCTTAAATCTTTATTTAATTATAAATCTAACGATAAAAATAGCATAACATAAATGTTCAACTTACTCTTAGCAAAACTGTAAGTAGGAAGGTATGAAACACACTGATCTCAAGATCACTATAGAAACGACAATGATAGTCTTTAAAATTTTCTTTTGGGAACTTTGTTCATACAGTTGTCAATAGAGGACATTGTTCTTAAATGTAGAAAAACTGGAACCTTTAAATTAAGAAAAAAGCTTATTATTTACATTTAACGTCCAACCTGTCCATCACTGGGTCCCTCGTCCATAACCGGTGCATTCACCTTAAATCAATTGCAAAACTCGAAAGAAGAATAACACATAACTATTTATTTTTTTTTTAATATTTAATAGTTGACCGTTGCATTATAAAGGCAGGAGATGGTCCGGGGTGGCGGTCATAAATAGGCTAAATAGTGGTAAAACTATTTTATTGAAAGCAAACGTTTCGACCCGTCTTTGGAGGTCTTCTTCAGGGAGATGTGTTCAGCTAGGAGTTTCACTTAGAACTGAAGTGAAGACTGAAGTTAAGTGAAACTCCTAGCTGAACACATCTCCCTGAAGAAGACCTGCAAAATCGGATCGAAACGTCGGCTTTCAATAAAATAGTTTTACCACTATTTAGCCTATTTATGACCGTCACCCCTTTATTTATTTTTTAATTGTCGTTAAAATAAATAATTTTTCAAATCCCCAATACAGCTTCAAATACGAGTCATTGGGAAAGACTTTTGTAACAGCTTATCGATCAAGACGTTTTTCTCCAGAAAAAATGAAAATACTATGTGATTCACTTTCGTTTTTATATTATATAAACATGAGTCTTGAAACTGACTGATTTAAATAAATGAATAAGTGTCTATAAATTTGGATTAAATGTTTGATTTTTTTTTGTCAGACACGTGCAATTGTTCACTGTCGAAAATTCGTTTAGAAATATTTAAAAAGTAATATTATCTATCGTATATGTAAAATAAACGTTTCTATCTATGTTTTTGAATAATTATTTAAACGTATTTGATGGAAATAATATTTTTTCATAATTTTGAGAATCTATTAGAAAGCCCTTATTTCTTTCTCTTAGCAATTGTGGTTTTTACACTAAAACTTTTCATGATATATATATATATATATATATATATATATATATATATATATATATATATATATATATATATATATAGGATAGATCGATATTTATGAGTTGAAAATAAAGATAAGAAACCGATCATATATTCTAAATAACCAGTATGTGAATTTATCAAGCATCATAAGCACCGACACACAGGGTATAAGTGGGGTGAACAAATTTCAGAACGCTATAAAATCGAGCCCCGTTCATCAGTTTATTACTTGTAATAAAATGTAATTATTACTTTTACAGTTTAATGAACTTTTTTTTTGTTTTTAAGTAAATTAAATATTAGAAGATTTTCCACGAAGAGAGGAGGAGAGGTGGCCATTCCTGCTGCAAATCACCTTTTCGATGAAGGCAGTGATAGTGGGAAAAATAAATTAATAAAATAGAATGTCAACTAATTAAATCAAATATGGATTGCATATTTTTGAAACTACAATATATTGCTGAAATCATGAAAAAAAAATCTCTATTGACACCAAATTAATATATATGATAGGTCAAGCACTTATCCCTCCACGAAGTGCTTTCAATTTTTTTCTATAATTATGGTAAAATATCTAGAGGATAATCGGTTGATTCTCTTTCTTTCTACAAATAATGCATAGATGCTACAAAGTTATTTGTAAAAATTATATTTCAGAAGTTCCATCAAGATACATTGCAAGTGACTTTACCAGCAGATATTTTATATAAAAAAATATCATATTATTATATATTATCATCAAAAATCATCTAAAATCATTTTCTTTTTTTTGTAATCAAGTTCAGAAATAGGAACGGAACTTTATAATTATGTTTTATTATAAACTAAAATTAGTATGAATTATAAGATGCAGGTACTTACATAGTACTCGTATACAATATTATATTTTATTTTTATTTTTCTTACTATTATTCATGATGATAATGAGGTAATAATTCTTTTTAAATATTAAACATTAAATCATATATATATATATTGTTTTTAACTAAATCCGAAAGGATGTACTCTGATGAAATATTTTGCCGTGTTTCCGGTTAGTAGTGAAATGGGTTAGAGGGCCCTGCCTACGTGACTTCTTGTGCTGGAGATGGGGCTTGGTCAGTGACTGCCGATCTAATGGGGCAAGGCAACAATTCGCTCTTAAGGCTTAAGTGTTATCGTTTATCTTTTAGATCTGCCCCCACCACTCGCCGTAACGCGAGAAAATTTAAATGAAAACCATTCTTTGGCACAACCATGGGTAGAACCTGATTATTGGGTCTCCCAACTTCTCACTGGACACGGCGGCTTCCGAGCAAAGTTCATTCAAGTTGGAAATAATATCGTCCATTTGTGCCCCCGAGCGGAGTACCAGAGACTATCAAGCATATTGTCGTAGCATGTACTGCATATGAGGCATTGAGAGCCAAACTGCTGAGGGAAACTTGTCTCTGTGTTTTGACTGAGAGCTATTTCCCTCACCTAATGAGTGCGGAAAACTATCCGGTCTTCAAAAATTGTTTTTTAGAATATAAATAAATTACAGGCCCAACTCATTTCTCCTTGGGAAGAAGAGGGAGGGCACCAGCTGGAAGGTGTATATATATATATATATATATATATATATATATATATATATATATATATATATATATATATGATATATTTTTATTTCAATTATTCTCCCTTATTACTCAATAGTTATTTTTCTTTTGAATTTTTCTTTCACTTTCTATTAACTTTCGTTCAATTTTCCATAATTTTTCTGAGTAATATATCACTCGTACCTATTTACGCTTCCAGCGCTTTAGTTCAAACTTCGTCGGATAACCGTTAGAGATGACGCCATCTACACATGTCTTCTCTCTTCCCCTCCCTTGCAACGACTTTTATTCTCCCTGCGACTCTTAAGGAGACAGGTAGTACTTCTTTAATTTCTTTCTTATTTCAGCTTTCTCAATTTCTTCCCTCCTTCCTTTCATTCCTTTTCTCTGTTTTTAACTCTTTATTATATTATACATTGTCTGTACATCTTGATAGACTTTACAATATCTCAATTTTCTATCTAACTACTCCATTCTCAATGTTTTAATTTTACTATTTATTTTCATTTCTTATATAACTTCATATTTCTTTCTTTTTTTTTTTATGTTTTACATTTCATTCTAAGATTCCCATTGTAATACTTATGTCACCCTTTTTGATTATGCCTACTTCATCATTCCACACTTTGTAACGGTTTTAATTATTTATCTCTTAGTTCTTAGTCATTATTCTAACAATTTCATTTTACTTTATATTTATCTATTTTATTTTTCTAATTTTTTTTTATTTTTTATTTTTTATTAGTTTTTTTACCATCACTACTTATGTTTCTCATACCTTGTTATCTGGTTATTTTCTTAGCCCTGATGAAGGCCTGAACTTCAGGTCGAAACGTCGGCATATGTAAAAAATAAATATTATCATTTATTTTTGCCTTCCTTTTTGACTGACCACCCCAACTATTCTTCTCTTCTTTATATACAATTACATTTGTTATCCAGTTGTTTCCTGGTTTGAAACTTTACACTCAGGAAATTTGTAACCCATTTACAATTAAGAGGTGTGCTCTCCTCGAAAATTCAAAGCCCGTCAAAAACGCGCAACTTGCACCACGAAACCTCCTTCTGGGCACATCTCAGAGAGAAAACTTGTTGATCATAGATCTATTAGGTCTAAATACACCCTGGTAATCCATCCTGCCATAGCCTCTCCAAACTTCCTCTTTTTTATTTAAATAGAGGGATTTAGATTATTTTATTAATCCTCTATTTTTTTTATCTATCTTATTGGTTTTACTTTCACTTACCTATATATCTAATATATAATGAGGGTAGGTATTGCAATCGTGAAAATTTTCGAATCTGAGTTTTCAATAGCAATAAACTTTTTGGGGT